GTCATCTGCTCTGTTTCCTCCACCAGATCCTTCAGCCACTCAGACCTTGTTCCAAACATTCACCACTCCCGCTGATGTCTCAGCATATTTTCATATTGAAAACAGAGTCTACATCGTTTTGCTTGATCCTCAACCCTCCCACATTCATATAAATTTCTCATATGTGTTAGCTTCCCTTCTCACCTCACAAGTAGAGGTCTTGCCCTGGACCATGGCCAGTTCCTACATCAAAGTCTAGGTCATACCTTTTACCTTTTTAGGGAACTTGCTTCTTCACTTCTTTTCTGCTTCTTCTCTAACTTTATCTATTCTCTACTCACCATCAAAAGATGCTGAATTTCCTTACATATGGGGAAAGCAAAACATTTAAAAAATTCCTCTCTAATGGCTTCACATTGGTGTTGACTCTACTTGCCATTTCAATCAATCTTCGTAGAGATGCTGCCTCATTCTTGTAAGAGTTATCTACATTTGTGTTCTNGCCATTCATTTATCCATTCTCATCTTGATGGACATTCCTTTTGTTTTCAGTTTTTGGATATTATGAAGAATGCTGCTTAAAATATAGTTCATGTTTTCTCATGGATATAAGCACGGATTTCTGTTAGGAATATACTCTGGTGTGTGTGCAGATCACATTAGGAGGTAGGTGTATGTTCAGCTTTGATAGAAACTGCCCAACAGTTCTGCAGAGTGACTACACCATTCCACGTTCCCACCATTGGCATGTGAAAGCCTCCATTGCTCTACATCCTCATCAGCACTTTGTAACATCATTCCCTTTGCTTTTTGACACTCATGGTGAGGTTTCTCTGTGCCACAGCACTGAAACTGCTCCTAGAATGATCACTGCTTTCATCCTAATGTTTAAGTTCAACAGTGACCACAATGAGAACAAATAATGTCCCTCAATTCACTGAAACCTCATGCAGTGTCTGGCACTGTGCCGAGCACTTTTTAGGCATTTTCTCATTTAATCCCCATGACAGCCTCTGAGGCAGAAACTGAGTCTCTGTTTTTCAGATGAGGAAATTGAGACTGCGAACAGTAAATATTTTGTCTAACGTCAGCTGGCTCAGTACAGGAAGGATTTGAACTGAGGAGTTCTGACTCCAGAGCTACCCTTTTAACCTCCCAGCAAAAGAGCTCATGATGTAGCACCACCTTTTCATATTTTATTGCAGTTGAGCATCTGGCCCTTGTGGATTCTCATTCTATTTATTTATTTATTTATTTTTATTTTATTTTATTTTATTTTTATTATTTATTTA